ACTGAACTATTTAATCTACCTGGAATGAATCCTACTATATTTTTACACAAATAACATGCTTATTATATTCTTTTTCCAAATATGCAACTCCTCCCCACCACCTGTGTGTTCCTTTGTAAGCGTTATTGTGTGGACAGATGCATTGTGTACATACATTATTTGGGAAGAATATAGGATTGATCAAAATAGGTTTTATTTATCTCCATTAAGCAAAACATTCCCCTATCATTTGTTGTTGTTGTTTTGTTGTTAATGCCACTGAGTTGGTTCTAACTCATAGTAGGGATATTATGCACAATAAAAGTCCTGTACCATCCTCACAATTGTTGTTATGCATGAGCCCATTCCTGATGCCACTGTGTCAATCTGTCTCTCTGGGGGTCTTCCTCTTTTTTGCTGATCCTCCACTTTACTAAGCATGATGCCCTTTTCCAGGGACTAGTCCCTATTAATAACATGTTAGAAAGATGAAGTTTTGCCATCCTTGCTTTAAGGAACATTCTGTACTTCTTCCAACACAGACATTTTTCGTTTTTCTGGCAGTATATGGAACTTTCAATACCCTTTTCCAACACCATAATTCAAATGCATCAATTTTTCTATTGTCTTCTTTATTCATTGTCTAACTTTCACATGTATATGTTGTTGTTTCTGTTGTTAGGTGCCACTGAGTTGGTACTGACTCAAAGCCACCCTATGCACAAGAGAATGAAACACTGCCTGGTCCTGGGCCAACCTCAAAATTGTTGATATGCCAGAGCCCATTGCTGCCGCCACTGTGCCAATCTATGTCGTTGGGGGTCTTCCTCTTTTTCTCCAACCCTGCACTTTACCAAACATTATACCCTTCTCCAGTGAATGGCCCTTCCCAATATTATGGCTGATGAAGTATGAGAAACAAAGTTTGGCCATGCTGGCTTCCAAGGAGCACTCTGGCTGTACTTCTTCCAGTACAGATTGGTTTGTTGTTTTGGCAGTCCACGGTACTTTTAATATTGCCCCTCCCCCAATACCATTAACTTTAAGGCATCAATTCTTCTATGGTCTTCTTTATTCATGGTGCAATTTTCACATGCATATGAGGTTATTGAAAATACTATGGCTTGGGTCAGGCACACCTTAGTCCTCAAACTGAAATATTTGCTCTTAAACACTTTAAAGAGGTCTTGTGCAACAAATTTGCCTAATGTAACAAGCCGATTTATTTCTTGACTGCTGCTTCCATGAGTGTTGATAGTTGAGCTGATCAAAATGAAGTCTTTAACAACTTCAATCTTTTCTCCCTTTATATGTATGCTGTTTATTGGTCCAATGATGAGGATCTTTCTTTTCTTTACATTGAGATGTAACCCATACCAAAGGCTGTGGTCTTTAATATTCATCAGTTAAATATTTTAAGTCCTCTTCACTTTCATCAAACAAGGTTGTATCATCTGCATATCGCAGGTTGTTGATGAGTCTTCCTCCAATTCTGATGCCATGTTTTACTCGATATATCCAGCTTCTTGAATTATTTGCTCAGCATACAGACTGAATAAGTATGGTGAAAGAAAACCATGCTGGTGCACACCTTTCCTAATTTTAAACCATTTGGTTTATCCTTATTCTGTTAGAACAACTGCCTCTTGGTCCAGGTACAGATTCCTCATGAGCACAATTTAGTGTTCCGAAATACTCATACTCTGCAATGTTGTCTGTAGCTTGTCATGATCCACACAATAAAGCACAGGTGAACATCTTTCTATTATTCTCTACTTTAAACCAAGATCTGATTGATATCAGCAATGATATCCCTTGTTCCATATCCTCATCAAAATCTGGCTTGAACCTCTGGCAGTTCCCTGTCAAGGCGTTGTTGCAGCCACTTTTAAATTTTGTTCAGAAATATTTTAATTGTATATGATATTGATGATATTGTCAGAAGATTTCCACATTCTGTTGGGTCACCTCTCTTTGCAATGGACACAAATAATGGATCTCTTGCAATCAGTTGGCTAGGTAGCTGTCTTCCAAATTTCTTGGCATAGGTAAGTGAGTGCCTCAAGTGCTACATCAGTTTGTTGATAGATTTCAATCTGTATTCCATCAATTCCTGGAGCCTTTTTCTTTGCCAATGCCTTCAGTGTACCTTGGACTTCTTCCTTCAATACCACTGGCTCTTGATCATTTGTTACCCTTTGAAATGGTTGAACATCGACCATTTCTTTTTGATACAGAGACCCTGTGTATTCCTTTCATCTTTTTTTTGGATGCTTTCTGCATCATTCAATATTTTGCCCATAGGATCAGTCAAGTTGAGCTTAGATTTTTTCTTCAGTTCTCTCAGCTTCTGAAATGCTGAGCATGTTCTTCCCTTTTGGTTTTCTAACTCCAGGTCTTTGCACATTGCATTATAAAACCTGACTTAGTCTTCTGGAGCGCCCCTTCCGAATTTTCTGCCCTTTGAAATTTTATCTTCTCATTTCTTCCATTTACTTTTTATCTCTATACTGGAGAGCAAGTTTCAGCATTATTATTGGCATTCATTTTGGTCTTTTCTTTCCTTGGTGTTTTAGTGAGCTTTTGCTTTCTTCCTGTATAATGTTCTTGATGTCATCCCCACAGCTCTTCTGGTCTTAATCACTAGGAGCCAAGGCATCGAATCTGTTCTTGAGATGGTCTCTAAATTCAGGTGGGATATATACTCAAGGTCATTGTTTGGCTTTGGTGGACTTGTTTTAATTCTCTTCAGCTTCAGTATGAACTTGAACAATTGACGGTGTGTTCCACAGTCTGACCTGGCCTTGCTTTGGCTGATGATATGGAGCTTTCCCACTGTCTCTTTCCACAGATGTAGTCAATTTGGTTTCTGTGTATTCCATCTAGTGAGGTCGATTTGTATTGTTGTCTTTTATGCTGTTTACAAAATGTATTTGCAGCGAGTTAATTATTGCTCTTGCAAAATTCTATCATCCATCTCCAGCATTTATTCTATCACCAAGGCTATATTTTCCAACTACTGATCCTTCCTGTTTCCAACCTTTGCATTCCAATTGCCAGTAATCATGAATACATTTTGATGGCATGTTTGATAAATTTCAGAATGAGAAAGTTGGTAGAATTCTTTAATTTCATCATCCCTGGCTTTAGTGGTTGGTATATAAATTTGAATAATAGTGTTATTAACCAGTTTTCCTTATAGGCTTATGGATACTATCCGATCACAAACAACATTGTACTTCAAAATAGATCTTAAAGGTTCTTTTTGATGATGAATGTGACTCCATTCTTCTATAATTTGTTGTTCCTGGCATAGTAAACCATATGATTGTCAGATTCAAAAGGTCAATACCAGTCCATTTCAGCTCAGCAATGACTAGGATATCAATATTTGTGTTTTCCATTTCATTTTTACAACTTCCAAATTTTGTAGATTGATAATTTGTACATTCTATGTTCTGATTACTAATGGATGTTTACAGCTGTTTCTCCTCAGTTTGGGTTGTGCCCCAGCAGATAATGAAGGTTTTGAAAGTTGTACTCCATTTGCACCACAACCATCGACTCTACTTTGAGGAGGCAGCTATTCCTCAGTTGTATTTTGAGTGCCTTCCAACTTGAGTGGTTCATCTTCCAGATCTACATCCAACACTATTCTGGTGCTATTCATGTTTTCATCTTTCGATGCTGTATCTGACAATATTCTGCTTGTATTCACTAGGTTTTCAGTAACTAAACATTCAGAAGTAGTATGCCCTTCTGTCTTCCTAGTCTTAGTCTGAAAGCTCAGCTGAAGCCTATCCAATATAGATGACCCTGCTGGCCTTTAAAATATTAGTGGCATAACTTCCAGCAACACAGCAATGCAAGCCACCACAGTGCAACAAACTGATAGATGGGTTGTTGACCCCAATTGTAAACAAAGCTAACTCATGCCAATTGTTTTTGGTAGCACAAGAAGTTGTTCCATATATTGGGGTCTATTTCAGAGTTCCTCTGCTCCTCCAATCATGAATGAACCAAGCCCACATTATTTTAATCCTTGGAGTACTCTTGACATCAGGTTGAAGTTACTCCTCATAATGATGCTGCCATTGACTTATGTGGCCCCCAGTTCTTCAGAGGGAAGCATGTGCCCAACTATATTTCAAGGAGAGGTTCTGGGTTTTCTCTGGAGAATTATCATTTTTACAGTTAGTCCCACCTGTGGGACAAAGATGAAGCTTTCTGCTACTGCAAAGATTTAAAGTCTCGCAAACCCTATTTTCAACAGCCTCATATGCATGTGAAAGCTGGACAATAATGAATAAGGAAGACTGTAGAAGAATTGATGCTTTTGAGTTATGGCGTTGGAGGTGAATATTGAAACTACAATGGGTTGCCAAAAGAACCAAAAGATTTGTGTTGGAAGAAGTGCAGCCAGAGTGCTCCTTGGAGGCTAGGATGGCCAAACTTCGTCTCTCATACTTCAGACATATTGTCAGGAGGGACCAATCGTTAGAGAAGGAGATCATGTTTGGTAAGGTGGAGGGTCAGAAAAAAAGAGGAAGAGACCCAGACAGCATCTCTGAGGACAGGTGCTAAGGTCTACAGTCTGTCAGGATGGTGACTAGGGAGGGATGTTATGGGAGGAACAGGGTCATAAAGGAGTGGCACCCACAATAAAAGGAGAGTGGGGGCAGCTCGCTGGAATTCTTCTGTCTTATAGTCAGAATTGCATACACAGAGGAACAAAAGCACCTTTCATTTCTTCCTGACATGTGAACTATTTCCTTAGAGTACAATATGCCAATTTATATCCATAAAAAAGTAATTTTCATAGGACATCCCAACAGCAAAAGCAGTCATAAAATTCTTACTGACACCTTTCTAGCTTCATCAGAAAAGCATGCAGCACCCATAGGCCTTCACATATATGCACACATGTGACTATACATGGGTTTCCTCTTGCAAAGGCATATGTAGCAGCCACAGTTTGGTCCTCTGTGTATTTAGAGGGTCAATTTTTAACTTGAACCAACCTTGTTTACTAAAGTCATGGCATAAACCAGCAGCTCCGTGTCAACCCCATCTTTTTCTTCCAGGATTTCCATAATATTTGACCAGGGTTTGACTCCTAAAATCAAAGCACAAATCATTAAAACAGCAATTTCACAGTCCAGCTATCTTCACACATTATCCAAAGCCTTATCACTCAGTGAAGGTCTGGTCCCTCCAATGCCAAATTCCAGAGTGTGACATTACTATCCTTAGGGTAGACTTGAGCATGCTTCTAATTAAGAACATTTCATAATAGGTAACACTAGACCAAGTCATATTAATCCCCTTGAAAACATATACTCTTCAGTGTCAGGGTACATCTTTACTTGCTTGTAAACATCCCTTTTCTATTAAACGTGTAATTTTTAAAACTCCATACATGTACAACTCTTTTTGTCCTTGTGTAGCTCTCAGAGAGTGTGGAGAGCTCCGCCCATTATCACCATACCTTAAGTTCTGATTGCCTGCCAGGAAAGGGATGCAAGAGATCTGTACATTCGCTTAGCAGGGACACGCATCCAAGAATTAACTGTGAAACCTGATCTAGCAACCATTTCAAGAACAGAAGTACAGTCTACTACCTCTATGCAATCGAAGCACAAATTCTCTGTAAGCACCTGGTAGGTACAGTGGAGGCAGTCCTGGGTTGTACAAACGATTAAGCACTTGATTACTAGCCCAAAAGACTGGCGTTTCCAACCCACCCAGTGGTTTCTCAGAAGACAGGCATGGCAAACCCACTTCTGAAAGGTTAAAGTCATTGAAAATCTACTAAGCACAGGTCTCCTCTGCATATCAGAAGTTGCCATGAGTTGAAATTGTCTTGACAGCAACTAATCACAACAACAGATACAAGGCACTGGACCTAATGGAGGCTGTCCTCAAGAGGTTTATAATCTAACAGAGCAGTTAAGACATAAGCACAAGACACACATAGCACGGAGTAAATGGCTGGAAGTGACAAAGGCATTTAGAAACTAATCTGCCCATCAGCGAGGGAAGCCACTTGTGCACGAGGTGACCTGGAAGCAGCACTCAGGGGCAGTCTCCAGAAGAAGGCAAAAATATATTTCCCATTCCAAACCAACAAGCCAATGGCAAGGCCTCAAAACAGGGAAGACCTCCTTGCACATTTTGCTACGACTGTGATAAATATCTGAAGTGAAGTGAAGTGACCCATCACCTTGCCCTTGGTTTCAGGGTATGGAACATGAAGACCTTTCCTGTTTGTTTTACAAGGATCTCAAAGGGATATTGCTTATTTGTGCTTGAAGAATGTAAATTCTGAAAAAGAAGAACAACAAAAAGTAAATTCTGAAATAAGCAGTTTCCAAACGCTGGTCCTTGGAATAGTTATGCCAGAGCTGATTCCCTGGTTTTGAGAGAAAATGCTACCCAAGGGCAGAGGTGGCATTGGTCTTCTTTGCCTCTGTGTTCACAGCATAGTGCCAGGCATATAGTTGTTGCTGTTGCTAAGTGTCACTGAATTAGATCTAACTCACAGAGATCATCTGTCCGTTTGTTGTACTCTGGTGGCTTGTGAGTTGCTGTGATTCTGGAAACTATGCCACCGGTATTTTAAATACCAGCAGGGTCACCCACAGTGGACAGGTTTCAGATGAGCTTCCAGACAAAGACAGACTAGGAAGAAGGAGTGACGAGCTACTTTCAATTACTGAGTCACTGAAAACCTTATGAATAGCAGAGAAATACTGTCAGATATAGTGCCGGAAAATGAGCTCCTCAGGTTGGAAGGCACTCAAAATACGACTGGGGAAGAGCTGCCTCCTCAAAGTAGAGTTGACTGTGATGACGTGAATGGAGTAAAGCCTGTGGGAGAAAAGCCCGCGGGACCGTCATTTGCTGATGGGGCACAACTCAAAATGAAGAGAAACAGCTGTAAACATCCATTAAAAATATGGAATGTATACAAAGAAGTATGAATCTGGGAAAGTTGGAAGTTGTCAAAATGAAATGGAACACATAAACATCGATATCTTAGGCATTAGTGAGCTGAAATGGAATAGTGTTGGCCATTTTGAATCTGAAAACCATGTGGTTTACTATGCTGGAAATGACAAACTGAAGAGGAATGGTGTTGCACTCATTGACCAAAAGAACATATCCAGATCAGTCATGAGGTACAATGCTGTCTGTGATAGGATAATATCCATGTGCCTACAGGGAAGACCAGTTAATACCACTATTATTCAAATTTATGCACCAACCACTAAAGCCAATGAAGATAAAACAGAAGAATTCTATCAACTTCTTCAATATGAAATCGATCAAACATGCAACCAAGATGTATTGATCATTACTGGTGATTGGAATGCAAAGGTTGGGAGCAAAGAGGAAAGGTCAGAAGTTGGAAAATATGGCCTTGGTAATAGAAATGATGCTGGAGAACACATGATAGAATTCTGCAAAACCAATAATTTGTTCATTTCAAACACCTTCTTTAGACAGCATAAGAGATGACTATACACATGGACCTCACCCGATGGAATACATAGAAATCAAATTAACTACATCTATGGAAAGAGATGATGGAAAAGTTCCATATCATCTGTGAAAACAAGGCCGGGGCAGACTGTGGAACAGACCATCAATTACTCATATGCAAATTCAACTAAAGCTGAAGAAAATGAAAACAAGTCCACAAGAGCCAAAATAAGACTTTGAATACATCCCACCTGAATTTAGAGATCATCTGAAGAACAGATTTGATACATTAAACACTAAAGACCAAAGACCAGAAGAGGTGCGGGATGACAACAACAACATTATATGTGAAAAAAAGCAAAAAGTAATTGAGAAGACAAGAAAGAAGGAAAAGGTCAAAATGGATGTCAGAAGAGACAATGAAACTTGCTCTCCAGCATAGATATGCTAAAGCAAATGGAAGAAATGAGGATGTACAAGAGCTGAACAGAAAATTTCAAAGGTCAGCTCGAGAAGATAAAGCCAAATATTACAACAAAATTTGCAAAGATCCGGAATCAGAAAACCAAAAAGGAAGAACACGCTCAGCATTTCTCAAGCTGGGGTAACTGAAGAAAAAAATTAAGCCTCGACTTTCGTTATTGAAAGATTCTCTGGGCAAATTATTGAATGATGCAGAAAGCATCAAGAGAAGATGGAA